TGTTGAAGTCAGCTAATCGTAGCTCCGACAATCCACCATCGAGGAAAAAAGAAAAGGTCGAATGTTGATTAACGTTGAAGTTAACTAATTTTTAAGTTAACTAATGGTGATTGATGAGTGAGCTAATGAACTGGTGATCCGATAACCCGTCGCCGAAAAAAGAAAAAAAAAGATGTCAACTAATGTAAAGTTAACTAATGGTAAGTCATTTAACTGGAGCTCCAACAACCTATCATCGGAGAAAAATTAAAAGAAAAAATGGATTGTTTAAAATTAACTAATACTGAGTCAGCTAACTGGAGCTCCAGCACGACCCGTCGCCGGAAATTTTGTGAATTTTTTTTTGTTCTGTGGGTTTATTTAAAATAAAAGTTAAAAAGTGGGCCTATTTGTAGAGAAACTTAAATTTCTGGGTCTATATCAAATTATTACTAAAAAGTAGATGTGATTCGTGCGTGTAATGTACCATAAAAAAAAATATTTCCTCATTATAAATTACAACAGAAAAATTAAGTGGGTTTTCCTTTAAAGTTTAAACTGAGTACAAAGTTGGTAATTGGTATATAAAATAGAAAGTTTCCTTATTATGAATTAACAAAATTTCCATATTTGAAGTAAATTTCCTGTATAAGTAATCCTGTGTTCTATATAATATGGACATATGTTACATGAAAAAAAAAAAACAGAAATTCTAGTTCATTATGGATCTGCCAATACCAATATACGAAGTTCGAAAGTGATCCCTGCCTCCAAGTTCAGTTTCTTCGTCATTATCATGGAGTACATCTTCACTAATGGTTTTGCGGCCGCAAAAATCCAGAAGTTCTTGTCTTAATTTCATGGATCTGTCAATACCAATGTTTGAAGTTCCAAAGAGATCCATGACTTTAAGTTCAGTTTCTTCGTCATTATAATGGAGTACATCTTCTTCGCTAGTGGTTCGTTCTTCGTTGCGGCAACATTCATCTTTTAGTGACCGACCACTCACACTCCTCTGCATTGACGGGGAGGAGTGAGAGGAGCAATACCGGCAACTTGCATTGTATGCCTCGAGAAGGAGTTACAGGTAAACCCTCATTTTTTTTTCTTGTATAATAAAAATAATATTATTTATTATTATTATTATTACTATTACTATTACTATTACTATTACTATTATATTATTACAAATGAGGACTCTACCCCTATTTATACTAGGCCACCTCCTTAATGGACGGTGGAGATCTACTTGATCTAACGGCTAGGAGTTGTTCACTAGAACACTCCAAGAATTCCTACGAAATATCTACAAGCGAGGGTTCTAAAATATTTTCTAGAATCCTCCAATAATCTCTACTTATCTCTATACATTTGGGCCAACTTGGGCCTAACCCTATTTGGGTTAAGTTTTGGGTTTCTTTACCTCCCAACCCAAGGGAAACTGGCAAAGGGTTTTGGACCAAAACTGGCGGGCCGTGACATCCTCCCCCACCTAATCCGCCGACGTCCTCGTTGCCTCGAACAAGTGGAGACGATCTTGAAATTGCCACAACTATTCCTTAGTCTCCCACACTGCCTCGGACTCGCGTAGTCCCTTCCATTTAATGAGGTATTGGATACTCGGTGGAACACCCCTTCGTCGCTTCAGTTGTCGGCCGAGCACTTCATCGATCTCCTTATCATATGACTTAGTCACGATGAGTGGTGCTCGGTGTGACTCTCCTCGGCCTGGGTCTTCCTTGTCTTCGTGATAAGGCTTCAACATACTCACATGGAAGACCGGGAGGATTTTCAAAGAACTTGGAAGTTCTAGGCGACACGAAACTTTGCCGACTTTGGTGATCACCGGGAATGGTCCTTCGTACCTCCGCACAAGTCCCTTGTGCATGCTCCGCAATGCCTTGAACTGTTGGGGCAATAGTTTCACCATCACTTGGGCCCCATCGTTGAATATCAGTGGTCGTCTTTTGTCGTCGATCCATTTCTTCATACGTCGCCTAGCCTTCTCAAGACACGCCCGGGCTAAGTCGGCCCGTCCATAATCGCCCCGTGAAGCGTAGGTCTCGTTCGCTTATAATGCTCCTCGGTAGTCCCCAATACTTGACGACGTTCTTGAAAAAGAACCGGGTGCCTCCTCTGCTGTGCAATCCCTCGGGCAAGCTATGAATGTCCCATATTTTGAAAAACGATCTATCACCACCATGATAGACCCGGACCCCTCGGACATCGGCAAGGCACTTATGAAGTCCATTGAGATTGACTCCCATGGTCGCTCGGGGATTGGGAGTGGCTCAAGTAACCTTGCCGGCTGCTTGTTCTCCACCTTGTCTTGTTGGCACACAAGACAAGTCTTCACATATACATCGACACTGTCCCGCATGTGAGGCCAAAAGTAGGCCGTCTCGAGAAACGCCATTGTCCGCCTTTGGCCCGGATGGCCCGCCCATGTGGTGTCGTGGTATTCCTTTATGAGGTCCTTCCTCAAGCTCCCCCACTTCGAATTCTGAACGAAGAGTGGTTGTCCCTTCGTGTAGAGTAGGCCGTCCTCGACCCAAAATTGCCTCATCTTGCCCTCTTTAACGAGTCGGATTAGCTCCTTGTCCATTGGATCATGGTCGAGCCCTTCTCGAATCATGTCGGCCAAGTTCCCCCTTGTCGAGCTAATAGCTGCGAGTTCGGCCTTTCTACTCAAGGCGTCGGCCACAACGTTTGGCTTGCCCGGTTTGTACTCCAAGACGTAGTCGAACTCCGCTAGAAAGTCTTGCCACCGTGTTTGCTTTGGCGAGAGTTTCTTCTGCGTTTGGAAGTAGTTTGTGGCAACGTTGTCCGTCTTGACCACTAACGGTGCTCCTAATAAGTAATGTCGCCACAGCCTAAAGCAATGGATAATGGCGGTCATCTCCTTCTCTTGGACCGTGTAGCGCCGTTTCGTTTCATTTAACTTTTGGCTCTCAAAGGCGATCGGATACCCCTCTTGCATCAAGAATCCCTTAATTGCAAAGTCGGAAGCATTCGTGTGAAGCTCGAACGACTTCCCAAAATCCGGTAAGGCGAGGACCGGCTCTTGGCTCACCGCTGCCTTTAAGTCCTCGAACGCCCGTTGGCATGAGTCGGACCACTCCCACATCTTGTTCTTCTTGAGCAAGTCGGTTAGTGGTGCCGCTCGTGCCGAGTACCCTTTTATGAACCGCCGGTAGTAATTAATTAGACCAAGGAATAAACGTAGTTCGGTTACCTTTGTTGGTGGTTCCCACTTGGTGATAGCCTTGATCTTCGTTACATCCATTTGGAGTCGCCCGTGTCCGATGATATGCTCCAAGAATTGGACCTTCTCGTGAAAGAGAGTTCGAAGTATGAGATGAGGTTTACCTGAAGTTACAGCCTTTCCGCCAAAACACCGTTGCCTTGCGCCGGAATCTCAAGCTTTCCAATCGCTATTTCGGTCCCTACACAATCACGGAGCGAATTGGTAAAGTTTCATATCGACTTTGCTTGCCACCAGAATAAAAAAAAAAAAAAACATGACGTTTTCCATGTATCTCTACTCAAACGAAAGCTTAGTCTGAAGCATATACCTAGCCCTCACTTACCTCTCACCGACGCTGATGGGAAGATTGTAACCTTTCCAATTGCTGCTCTAGAATTTGGTAAGCTCACTATTGGAGATGAACTGACCGCACAAGTTCTGGTGCAATTGTCCAATTCGGGAAGAGAAGGTGCTACTTGGGAAAGGATTGATGAATTACGGCGCAAATTTCCATCTTTTAATCCATGGGGACAAGGATTTGGTTCGCCAGGGGGTAATGTCACGTTCACGGAGAATCTGAAATGGGGATCTAAGAAATCAAGGAAGAAATCGAGGGTTATGGCGAAATTGGAAGAAATGGGGATTGAAACGAGTGACGTCGTTTCAAGATTAATGGAGCCACCGACAGCTGATATTGTTGAGCCAGGGAACTCTGTTATTGGACCGATGATAGTTGGGCCAAGAAAGAATGAAAGAGTGGGCTTGCAAATTGTGGCTGGGGTGGAAAAGGAGGGATCCGAATAACTTAATTTGAGAGACAGCACCTGAACCTACTAGTCTAAAATTATTATTATGTTTTGTCATTTTCCTTATTTTATGTTTTTCATTTAATTATTTCAATACTTTGTTTGTCAGCGATTTGTTATAAGCTGCGAAGTAATGAGAAAGGCATAATCAATTTTCAGAATTTTATCTCTCTCTCTCATATTCTTCTCCCTCTATCATTCTACTTTTCTTGCTCCCCAATTCTCATAAACCCTAATAGTATCCTATCTAAAATACAACCATATATCGGAATTTTATAAGGTCATGAGTTGAATCTATTATGGTGCAAAAACCTGTTGTTTTTTTTGTCTCAATTTCTTTTGAGCTCATCTTCCATAAACACATTATATTATATCTATATTACTATTTAGTCCACTTAAAATTCAAAATATACAAAAAAAGTCCTAACTTTTTTTTTTAGCCTCTCTCATCAAAACACATTATATTATATCTATATTATTATTTAGTCCACTCAAAATTCAAAATATATATAAAAAAAAATTCCTAAATTTTTCTGTTCAATTTTTTTTCCCTTCTCCTAATTTATCCAACAAAAAAAGTTTCAAATTTTTTTTTCTCCGGGGGCACTGCCACAGTTATATTATATCTATATTATACCCTGAACTTTCATCCTGGATCCGCCACTGTTCAACGTATGTTGCATAAGGGTAAACAAATTAAAGTAACATGTTGATATAATCTATTTATTATGTATATTTTGTTGTCCGGTTTGCTTTTACTAATCGTTCAAAGCACATCAATTTAGATGAATTTACCCTATTTTGGAGTAAGAAAATGTAACCTAATCAGAGGGGTTTGTTTGGTAATTATAAGTGGGGTGTTTTTCGTCATATAGTCTAAGTTTTAGGGGGTTTTCGTAATTTACTCTTTAATTTAAGTAAGTATTTTTGTGTTGAATGCAATAAATTATATATTTCAGGCCTGTGGAATAAAAAAAAGGGCAGCCCAGCATCCCAGTTGATTTGGGCTGTGGATTCAGTCGAAGCCCAACTCATATACAATCTCACAAAAAAAAAAATGGAAAATACATATTTCAAGCCTAGCACAAAGTTTGTAATTGTCCTGCCACGTGTAATATTTAATTATTTATTTTATATATATACAAAAAATTACGAGTGGCAGTAAAAGACCCACTCGGTGTTTATCACCGTGTATAGGGTCGAAGGAGCCGTACTAATTGTCGGAAACAGCATTAGCACCCGTATTTATAGAAGACAACCCGGTGTTTATCACCGTGTATGGGTCGAAAGAGCCGTACTAATTGTCGGAAACAGCATTAGCACCCGTATTTATAGAAGACAACCCGGTGTTTATCACCGTGTATGGGTCGAAAGAGCCGTACTAATTGTCGAAAATAGCATTAGCACCCGTATTTATAGAGGACAACGAATTGCAGACAGATTGAAGTTGAGGAACAGTAAAAGATCCTCGTAGTAAACTGGTGGCTATGGATCTATAAGCTGCCTCCGTCAAATGCACGCCGTCCCAACTCACGTACGAAGAAGGGTCTTTGCACGTGTGGGACCCGCTACCCCCACATTGTACCTTCAAATTTACGTTGTACGGCCCTCCCGCTCCGCAACAAGCTCTAAGTGCTCCTTCCGTAAAACCTGCATCAACGTCAATTAAACATTATTATTATTATTTCACTAATTAACTGATAATCTAATTTAATTTGATTTAATCATGTATTGTGATTGATTAATTACCGTGATTTTTAGGGGAACGATAAATGAGCATTGCAGCATTGTAATAATCGGCGTAGATTAAATTAACACTTGGATTTTGGTTTCGGATGAGGTCGAGTTCCGTTTGAAGCAGATTATTATGGTGCTGGGAAAAATTATTTAGCCAATTAAGACAACCAGTTTCCGGGTCGTAATCTTTTTCGTTGGAACTTTGGAAATATGTAAGATAAGCTGCTGAACATCCGATCGGGAAATTCCCTGCTACCATCAGCGTCACTGCTCCGAGTTTTATCAATTCCTGCATTTCAATTTTTTTTTATTAAAATAAATTTCGAAAATATATTTCAGTGCATGACATTTAACTTACATTAATCGTAAAAATTATTTCTTTGACAACTCGGGGAATGAATAATCGGACGACATCGACGCTTTTTCCTTGGAGGAACGCGTCGTTATAGTCGTTTCCTCCTATCTCTCCCACTAGGACAAGGGAGCTCTCGAGATATTTTTCGCAATCTGAACGTATATCGACAACAATTTATATAATAAACATCAATTATTTTTTTCAATTAATATTATTTCAAGTTGCAAGAGAAAAAAAGATACAAGCTTGCAATGTGGCCTAGTTGCTACGTGGCGACAACTTCCTTTATTATAAAATATTAAGACTAAGATTAATAAAATTCCACAGGACATTATTTTTTTTGTTTTTCTGTTGATTAGGTAGCACATTGTTTTCAGTTGAAATTTTGAAATAATATCCAGTTTGAAATAATTAATTTTTCCTTGATCAATATAATCATATAACAAAATTATAAGCATGATATATATAGATCAAAATTAATTTTGGATCGAATTGATGTGAAAAAATATTATTGTTACCTGCAGCAGGTAATTTGTGGCAAAGTGTGGGCAAAAACACCTCTTTAAACAAATTGAACTGATTGAGCAGAGACACATTTGCCATCGGAATTTGGACCCCAGTCTTGGCAAAAAAGGGATCCGGCAGCGCCGTAGCTCCCCCCACCGCGAAATTCACGCCGCCGCTCACATTCCCCCCGCTGTGAAACGGTGGTGTGAAAGGAAGCGCCAACTCTTCAGCTGCAAATTACCAGAAAATGTTGAAAAATAATAAGAGAAATTAAAGAGGTATTAATAAATAATTGGGGACAACGTATACCGATGAAGTCGATGATGAGGCGGCCGTCGGAGAATCTCCCTGTGGGGAGATGAAAGTATGTCTCACCGTACGGCGGCGAGGCGAAATTGGGCGGCGGATTTGACGGCGGGGAGAGGTGAAGGAGGTTTCCTGTGTCGGCTATTGAATCGCCGAAACTAATGATGGATTTGAAGCACGCGGAAACCTGTGTGTTTGGTAGTAACAGAATTATCAAAATAGTAATATTTACAGAATAAAGTATACATTTGGATGAAGCAGTAGCAGCTGCAGAAGCCATTGTGTATGTGAGTGAGAGAGAGATGAAAATGCAAGAGATTTACAGAGGAGAATAAATGTAAATTTATTTATTTTATATATTTTTCGTTTCGTGCTGATTTATTTGATTAATTTATGTTTAGTTTACATAAAATGGATATTTGCACGCCTTCATTAACCAATTTATAATATATTATAACCAACCCTCGTTAGGAAAATTTGTACCTAGTCTTTACCAATAGGATAAAAAAGTCTAGGGTTGAGTCCCCCTTCCCCTATTTCCCCTTAAAATGAATTTGAATTTATTAAAAAAAAAAAAGTATAATATATTATAGATATAATTTATATTAATACACTTGTGCTCTCATTATCCCGCCACCTTTAAAATATGAAAGCAACAAGTAGTGGGTGAGTGGGCCCGAGTGAGGTTTACTAAAATATATATTTGATTACGATTTTCATTGTCTATTTTCTCATACGATCAAAATGTCACCCATTGGCCTACTATAAACCGCTTATTTGATGCCACATATGACAAAATATATCTCAGTAAATTTTGGGAATTAATTTTTTTGTGTGGGTTTATTTGAAATAAAAGTTAAAAAGTGAGCCTATTTGTAGTGAAATTTAAATTTGTGAGTCTATGTCAAATTAGTACTATAAAGTATATGTGATTCGTGTGCGTAATATACCAGTAACAAAAATATTTCCTTATTATTATGAATTACAACGGAAAAAATAAGTGGGTTTTCCTTTAAAATTTAAACTGAGTACAAAGTTGGTAATTGGTATATAAAATATAAAGTTTCCTTATTATGAATTAACAAAATTTCTATATTTGAAGTAAATTTCCTGTATAAGTAATCCGTGCGTTCTATATAATATGGACATAGGTTACATGCAAATAAAAAAAAACAGAAGTTCTAGTTCGTCATGGATATGCCAATACCAATATACGAAGTTCGAAAGAGATCCATGCCTCCAAGTTCAGTTTCTTCGTCATTATATTATCATGTAGTACATCTTCTTCCCTAATGGCTTTGCGGCCGCAAAAATCCAGAAGTTCTTGTCTTAATTTCATGGATCTGCCAATACCAATGTTTGAAGTTCCAAAGAGATCCATGACTTCAAGTTCAGTTTCTTCGTCATTATCACGGAGTACATCTTCTTCGCTAATGGTTCGTTCTTCGTTGCGGCAACATTCATCTTTTAGTGACCGACCAAAGGAGCAATACCGGCAACTTGCATTGTATGCCTCGAGAAGGAGTTACAGGTAAACCATCTTTGTTTTTTTTCTTTTATTATTATTAGTTTGTACGGCTTAAGTGCTTGAATTCTTGTTGGATTTGTTGGATGATTACAAATGAGGACCCTACCTATTTATACTTGGCCACCTTCTTAATGGACAGTGGAGATCTATTTGATCTAAGGAGTAGGACTTGTTCACTAGAACACTCCAAAGGAGGGTTCTAGAATATTTTCTAAAATCCTCCAAGAATCTCTACCTATCTCTATACATTTGGGTCAACTTAGGCCTAGCCGTATTTGAATTAAGTTTTGGACTTCTTAACCTCCCAACCCAATGGAAACTGGCAAATGATTGGGCCAAAACTGACGGGCCGTCACAAGTAAACTTCTTTTGACTGGTCCTCTACGTAGTCCATTGGGGCTAACGAATTTATTAGATGATATACATGCGTTACTACCCTAGGCCAAGCCTGTACAAACCTGATTATACCATCAACGGATTTATTGTCGTCCGATGAGCTTGTACCTTTTTCCACTTACAATGTAATTATTTTATTTTCTTTTTTTAATTCTTTCTAATACTGTAATTTATATTTGCATTTGTAAATTGATCCTATTCTTGATTACATGAAAGTTATTTGAATATAAAGTTGAGGGATGTCTCTCTTGCGACAACTGCAGCTCCAACTTATTTACCGGCACATTATTTTGAAAGTATGGATTCGAACGGCATTGGTGCACTTACAACATGATGGACGCTGGTGGCACAACAAATAACCCCGTAAGCATTTGATTTCAAATAGTGAAAATAATAATTTTAAAATGTGATTTTTTGATTATTATTTATTTTTCTGATTTTATTTTTTACTTTTTAGATATGGGCATAAACACTTATGGTCCTCGAAGGATCACATAATATTGTCACTCGGAACTGGATCATGTGTCCGTCTGGCCGACAAATACGATGCCAAAAAAGTGAATAAACTCTATTTATTAAAGTATGGAAAGACTGCATTAGAGTTATACCACTCACAGATATAACTAAAGATATTGAAAGTAAAGCTCAACAATCCTTCACCCCTCGAGATACTCCCATTGTAGTAGAAATTTTTATTTTTTTTTATCAAAATTAACAATCAATTGAAAGTTTTTTAGTGGTTTTATTTGTAATTGCCACGTGTAATTTTGTGATTGGGTGTTTATGTAGTTATTTTTTTGATAACTCAATTTTCAGGATGTATTTTTACACTAAAAAAAGTAGAATATCAAAATAATTATCCATTTTTGATACTTCAATTGGAATAGAAATTTTTAATTTTGAAGTATCAACAGGTGGTTTACGAATTTAATAATCCATTTAATACTTCAATTGGAGTTGCTCTTAGCATAGCCAAGCAGTTATATTACCAATCAGGGCCAGCCGCCGAGGGCCCAATATTCTCCAAGGACCCATTTTTCCATCCACTTATTTAATGGTCCATAGTTTTATCTATAAATTTTATTTTATTTATTTTAGAAATAAATAGACATGTACGTCAAAATATCTCTCTCATGTTGTTTCCGGAGATGGGCCCCACATCTTTCCCCAAAAGGTGACTAATATAACTTTTCCCGGTCATCTTTCTCACTTCATTAATTTTGCTTTAATTTGATTAAAGAAATGGTTTAAAAATTACAACTCGTTTATTGATTTGTCTTAACATTTATTATTATATAATTTTTGGTGAAAGGAATTTTTTCATGTGAAAGTGTACATGGTGTATTATCTTTATATATAAATATATAAATAAATTTTGAGGTCTTTCTTAACCAAATTTCTAAAAATTTATAATTTTGCATTTTGAGCGTTTATAAAATTATTGTGACCGAAATAAATGGTCGAGTTTGTATTAATGATAATATTCCATTCAAAGGAGTTTTTATTACCTTTGGCCCTTTTGCTTTCCAAAATGGGATAAATTCACCCCGTATTGATTAGTCATGTTTGCACTATTTGTATAAGTTCGAAAAGTATCAAAGTTATCGTATGTTTTCTATGATTAAGTAACTGGGATCTTTCTAGCGTTCGATCGCTAAAAAGTAAAATCTATCTAAGCTCAGTTAGAGTCTAAATGGCTGCCATGTGTTAAAAAACAAATACATAATTTAATTTTTATTGTGTAATGACCTAAATACATTTAGACCCCATTTGGTTGGCAAGATAAGATTAACTAAGATAAGATTAAATAATTTAATGAGACCCAATTATTCTATTGGAGCTTGAAACGTCAAAAAAAAAAAAGACAAGATAAGGCAAAATTAATCGAAATGTTTTTATTACCCTCAGTATCTTTTACAAGTTTTAAATTAACTAGTATCTATGATCCCATGCTAACTAGTATCTATGATCCCATGCGTTGCACAGGACAATAAAATTAGTTACCTTGATATAAATTAAGATAGTCTTCATTTGAAGGAAATAATTTAATTTTAATTAGTATTTGTTTAGGTTGAATGAATTGAAAGCAAATCTAAAAACTTTTAATTGGAAGTTGACTAATGACAATTTTAGGACTTTTTGAACAAAATAATTTCACTCTAGTATAAACATTTTAAATTATATTTTGATATTGTTATATAATTATAATAAAGTTAATAATTGATGGAACTTTGGAAAACGATCATTACCTGGTATATAATGAACGGTAATTGATCGTTTGGTGGATAAAAACCAATTCAGTCCCAGCCCTAGACAGAAATATGAGTTTGACAAACCTGCAAGAAAACCATTTACTTTAGTAGAGCAAAAATACGGTTCCTACAAAGCATATTTATAATGGAATTCTTCATATCCAAATATGGTTCAATGTGTGTGAAATCTTAGTTAATCCATTAGTCTGTGGCCAAAACTCATATAAACGGTCTGAGATACACCATCATATATGATTGTAAATCGATTTGTTTGAAAACTTAGTATGAGAACATCCAAAAGAAACTACTGATGTGACATACCAATTGCTAGAAAAAAAAGCTGATGTAGAACGTTGTTATTCTATATATGTGCGTGAACATGTAAAATGACAGAAAAGATATGCCGAGTCAAAAGGAATATGAACCTGGAAAGGAACGCTACTATGCTAAATCTGTTTCGCAAAAATAATTCTAAATGAATCGACTTCTTTTCAAATAGAAAAACATAAATTTAATGTAAACAATAAATGCTATAAATATGAGGAACCGTTCATTACCTGCCATTGATTAAAAAAATAATCAACGCCGGAGACCGGCGTTCAATGGCGGTGACGGACGAAATTGTCCATAAAAATGTGTTGTGAGTCAAAATTGAATAATTTGTAAAATTTTGGGTCAAATTGAGGTTAGATTAAATTAAATGATGAAATTGGAGCATATTAAAGTATGAGGGACTATTTTTGTCTTTTACAAACCTTTGAACCATGTGTGAATTTTTTTGTAAAATAATTTATTGTCTGGATTTTTTAGAAATAAGTACCCATTGATAAACTTATTTGTAGAGCGTCCTTAATTTTAAGGGCAATTAGATTATGTCGACCTGATCAGGATGAATTAGCTCTTGTATACGTTTCAATTCTTTCTTGAGTAGCTTATTGTGGTACCTAGCAAACTTGTTCAGCCAATTTAAACATCCGGTTTTCGGGTCGTAATCGTTTACGGCACTCGATTTCTTGAATTGTGTTAGGTAAACAGGCAAACAGCCTATTGGTAGATTTCCAGGCACTAATATTGTCTGAAGACCAAGCTTAATCAGCTCCTGTTTAATTAGTAACAGAAATTATAAAACCGAGTGCAGGTTTATGCACTAATTAGATGATGTTTTCTTTAAGTACGTATTTGAATTGTTGATCCAATGTATTCGACAACTGCTGGAGCGAATGATTGAATAACATCATAAGTTGCGCCTTGACCGAGTGGATGGTTGTAATCGGTGCCGCCTATCTCTCCCACCACAACCAAAGACCTTTCGAGGTATTTCTTACCATCTGTTATTATTATGTAATAAAACAGAAAAAATAATTCCAACAGACAACTCATGATTAGAAACTACTATTCTGACTAGATATTTTTTCCAGAAATTAAGAATAATAACAATTAATTGATTAAACAAAACATAATTAACCAAAGGATCAGATCAGACTAATAAAATATTTGTGGGCAAATATATATAAAGTTCACCCTTTCTGGATTGTCATTAGATCATCACTAATTATGCTTTAATTTAGTTATCCAATTTTAAATTAGGTTTAACTACAAATTTCATTTTCAGGAATAAAATTGAGTGATCTTACCAGGAATTGTGGATAAGAAACGTTTGAACCAATCCAATTGAGTTCCCAGAGACACATTCGTAACCGGATTATGGAATCCTAATTTCTCGTAAAACTCATAACCAAGCGCCGTCGCTCCAACCACCGCAAAATTCACTCCTTTGCTGAAACCCCCGCCCTGCAATTCCCCATTTTCTCCGCCGTACGTGTACGGCGGCACGAACGGCAGCCCTAATGTCTGAGCTGCAAAATTAGAAACCAACAGTGTGCCAATATGTAATCTTCGGTGCATATACAGTTCATAATTCAACTACTGCTTTGTTTTGCAATCGATAAATCGAATCCCGATGCCATCTCCAACACCACCCCCATCGTCTTCCCACTTAATTTCTGAATCCCAGCAAAAACAAACTATTATGGCATTATATATACTTTTCTTTTATTTTTATTTTTATTTTTTTTTTCCTTATTTGTTTGCGTAGAGTTCCATGATTATGTTGATTTGCTATATCTTCTATGAAAGAAACCCTAAATAAATCAAACCAATTAGAAATAATTTATAAATACCCCTTCAAAAGTCCAACGAGAATCTATCCCTTTCTTTTCTGCCGATATATATATATATATATATATATATATATATATATATATATAGATATAGATATATATATATTGTGTAGTAAAAGAATTCCAGAAACATAGACATATATCTCATCATGGCGGCTTTTCTTCGGATTGCTCCAATTCCAAACATACCCACAAAGCCTTCTCCCCCCTATTCGATGAATATCCGGTGGTCATCGAATTTTTCCCCGTATTCGTTAATAATCCGGTCATCCAATCGACAGCACAAGACTTGTTCCATATCACGACCTTCTCCCCCTTCATTATTAATCCCGTCATCCAATTGTCCGTTCTCACTCCTCTCCATTGATGGAGGAGGAGTGAGAGGTGCCATACCGGCTACTATTCTTTTAACCCTTGAGAATGAACTACAGGTAAATAAATTTTGTTAATTTTGAAATAAACTAGTTTTTTTTTTTTTAATTATGATTATTATTATATTTTGTTATCATGCACCAGAAGCTGGATGGTCCAGATGCACGACTTGCATCTTACTTTGATTGCATCGCCGGGACTAACTCCGGTGGTGTCATCGCATCATTATTGGCATTACCTAATTTAATGGGCAACCCGATGTTTGAGGCCAAAGATTTACAAAATTTCTTCGTGGACTATTCCGAATCTATTTTCAAGCCGAGGTAATTTTTTCTTTTTTTTTTTATTTAAACGCTCAATTGTTATTTTCACTCTTTTAAAACTGAAAATTGTTTATCTTGTTTAGGAACTTACTGATTCAGATAGGAATGAAAGTCAAGAGTTTAATTAGTGGTTCTCCATATAATTCATGGGACCTGGAAAATGTTTTAAGTAAACATATGGGGTCCACCACCCTAGGGGAAGCCTGTACAAATTTGATTATACCATATACTGATATGATAACCCGCCAGTTAACAAGTTTTACCACTTATCAAGTTAGTATTCTTATTTTTATTTAATTTTTTTCTAATACTTATTAATTCTTATTTGTATTAATTATAAGTTAAATCTTATTCTTGAATATTACAGGAAACTGATTTGAATACAAAGTTGATTGATGTCTGTCTTTCAACAATAAGTGGATATCCAACCGAAAAAAACCCTGTAAGTAACTCAAACTCAAAATAGTGAACATAATAATTTTTATATGTGATTTTTCGGTTATTTTTTATTTTTCTATATTTTTAGTTAGGTGATGCACTTCATGAAATAAACTTTAGTGGTTATCGAAGAATTCCTAGTCCGCGGGTTCCCTCCCTGATACTATCACTAGGGACTGGAATTGTCAGCTTGCATGGGCGGGGGGTATTTACCCCGGAAACATTGCGTGAGGAGGAAGGATTGGCAAAGATTTTCCGTCACAAAAGGTGGCCAACCGCGGTGTACTCGTCAATAGCCTCTGAATACTGTGGATATGGAGTTCAACAATTATTGGGCCAGAAAGATTTTTACTTGCGAATTCAGGTAATGTGCTCTATTTATTTTCGTATTCATGGCTAGGTGTTTTAATATTGTATTTGTTGATAGTTGATGCAATATATATCATTATTTATTTTTTATAGGACTATAAGCCGGATTTGATTAATATGGATGATAATCTCGCATCATTGGACAACTCAACAAGGATGGAATCGTTAGTTGAAGCCGCGGTCTCTTTGTTACAAGAGCGACACATAACATTCATGCCGTATGATAATACCGTCGACGAAGAGACAAATGAAACACTATTGAGGAATTTTGCAAATCTTCTGTCCGAGCAGAAGAAGATCCGTGAAGGCGGAAATTAATATTTTATTAACATTACTACTTTTTATATTGCAATAATTACATTCATTTTTTTTTGTTAACCTCTTTTAGTTCAAGAATTTTTTTCATTATATGATTAAAAAAATGTATATATTAACAAAGATCGGGAGATGGGAGATGTATTCGTTTTTCATTATTTTTTGCTCAAATATCACTTTTCTAGTAATATTCATTTTTAGGCTTGTGGCTTTGTAGATTCGTATCCCGTAGGTGGTTGATTCGTGTGTATTCTGTAGACTGTAGTTGTCTTTAAATCTTTCTGCATTTTTATGCTTTGTCTTGTAAATCACTGGGTATTAGAAAAAAATAAGTGAATTGGGTCGACAATATGTATACGATGTCTATCTATATATGTATACGCTTGTGCTTCGAGTTTTTTTTAATCATTGTTTCAGTTAAGCTTTATATTGATTCGATGCCAGAAAGATGGCATTCTTTTCTATATCTTATTACTGAACTAGCTATTTCAGAATACATTTTATTTCCCATGGTTGCATTGTTTTTTGGATTGATTTTATTGAGAAACGTTTGAGTCGTCAATCAGTGATGATCCTTCATGCCTTTGTGAATTAAGCCATCTTACTTTTCCGTGGCTTGGCTTGGCTTGGCTTGGCTTGCAGTGTTTACAATAATGTACACCATCCCAGCAAGCTAGCAGTGGGAGCAGATTTTCGTTGTTTCAAAAATAAAATAGAGCCAAAATGGGAAGATCCCGTTTGTGCTAATGGAGGAAAGTGGACTGTGGGTTTTCCAATGGGTAAATCTGACACTGCTTGGCTATACACGGTATGTCTCAGTTATGTTGAGTACAAATTATTGGGATTTCAAAATTTCTATCTTTTAAGCCTCTAATCGCATCTCGGATTCCATTTAGTTGCTGGCAACGATTGGAGAGCAGTTTGATTACGGAGATGAACTTTGTGGAGCAGTTGTCAATGTCCGAGCAAGGCAGGAGAAAATTTCTATATGGACAAAGAATGCTGCGAATCAAGTTGCTCAGGTATGGTTGTTGAGAACATAGCTCGGGAATATTTCCATTATATTATATTACAATAGTATGGGTATTTACTGTCACGAGTGGAAGTAGGTGTACCGCGTACACATGGTCTACTAGGGATTCTATAGATACCTTGGTTTAAAGCTTCAAAATAAGCGATGCGTATGAGGAATAGTGCTCGGTGCTATACTTCAAAAGATTTCACCATTAAAGGCTCTCTGACCACGCCTAAATTGCATTGAGGAGGATTGTCCTTAATCTTATGATCGTATCGACTCAAGAAAAAATCTAATAAGATTGTATAAAAGATTAATTTTCAGGCTTTATGTTGGATAAAGTTGTTGAAGAGGCTGAAATCCCAATCCCAAATATTTAGCTCTTTAAATTTATGCACGGAACTGATTATCCTGGTCATTTTGTAGACACGTGGTAAACTTGCATTGTTCGTACCTATATCCCATGCTTGAAATTCATATTCACGTTTCCTGACATTTCTCAGGTAAGCATTGGAAAACAATGGAAGGAGTTTTTGGATTACAATGACTCAATTGGTTTCATATTCCATGTAAGTTTCTCTTCAATTGTGTATAAATTATTGATATCTTATTCCATCGAAAGATAAAGTTGTCTTCTGATTTAGGATGATGCAAAGAAGCTCGACAGGGGCGCCAAGAATCGTTACAATGTGTATTTTGTTCTGTGGCTGATTCTCACCCCGACAACCCCTTTCTATTTTTGTCTTTAGATAGTCTTTTTTTCTTCTGGATTCTAGTCTGTAACCCCGGACTTCAGAGTACCAATTCAATATTCCGATCACTACATTTGTGTACATGCGCGTTTGTTTAGCATTTTTTGAAATTCAGCATTTTAAATTTTATTTGAAGTTTCAGGTTATCCTGATGGATACTGCACTATATATATATATATATATTCGTTGCAACCATTTCCTCTCAAGATAGCAACACTACTAATTTTAAAAATGTTGTTTACGTGCATAAATCAAAAAACGCCATAGATTCTACTTCAAGACATAGCAAATCAGAACCTGTTTAGTCGAGTTAGGTAATCGCGACTGCCTAGTACGAAAATAGTAGAAGATATTTACAGAGGAGAGTATATTTACATAGCAAATTTTAAACTGTAAAAAACAAGTCCCATTTCTAACTATAATTTTTGACAACTATCAAAATTGAAACTAAATTGTGAAGAATCCTACACTAATGATACTTCTGTAATCATTTATTTTTAATCATTTTTCTCTACTAATTTTCTAACTATAATTAGGGTGAATGGATAAAAAGGTCCATCACATGGGACTCAAATGCATATTGGTTCACAAAAAAAAAACACTCTCAAATAAATTCATCCCCATGTCTTTGGTCTAAAATACCCTCCATAATATATTTTTTATCAATTTCATCTATTATGCTCTAACTTTCTTAATATTACACATTGACCCCGGATTTAAACAAATATACACATTAACCCCCAAAATAATAATTTTTTGAATTTTTTTTTTGGAAATTTTTTTTCCGGCCAGATTCTGGCCATGACCGCCGGAGACTGCCAGTCTCCGGCGTTGACTTTTTTTTTCCTGAATTTTTTTTCCGGTCGGTCAACCACCGTTGACCTTTTTTTTTCCCGGATTTTTGTTTTCTTAGAAAAAAATATTTTAATTAATATTACTGTCTCAGACAGTAATATTACTATTTGCACAGAACTCTTCAGCCCGCAGTGATAAACGTATGGAGTTATTCAATTTTCACTTTTAAAAACGATCCGTCACCTCGACCGAAACCGTCACCACGTCCTCTAGAATTGTTCAATCTATTGTTTATCATAATTTTGGGTCTATTTCAATTTTGGGTTTACCGTATGAATGATTTGGGTCTCTTTTTTGCAGAATTTTTTTTTTCTTTTTTTGTATTTATTATACATATCAGAAGAATTTTTGAATTGTGTTTTTTTTCCTTTATATATAGGAAGTCAAGTGCATTTATTTTGACCAAGGGTTACTTTGTAAATTCATTCATTATCAGTCACAATCAGTCAAACCAAACAAAAAAATTAAGTTATCCAATATTAGTAATCCTTCAAACCAAATGAGAATATTCTCTTACTGAATAGTGGTGAACAATACAATATTGCATAATCCTCATTTTTTAATCAATCCCATCATAGCAACCAAAAAGGCCCTTAATGTACTATATTTTCTTATTATGTATAAAATATTTTTTTTTTTTATTTTTTAAATAATATCCTGTACATATCGCAGAGAGAAAAAAATGCTAGTTAAAATAATGGGTAATGATATACGCAGGCCAAATTAAACATTCAGACACTTTTTTACCATGATTTTTTACCTTTTTACCATAACTATTTACCTTTTGTACTATTCATATGCACAAAATCGGATTTTTTTTTATTCATGTGCTCGTGTGAATTTACGCGAGCACTTGGCAAGTGCTCGCGTAAATTCACGTGAGCACATTAACAATTTTTTTTTTTTTTAACCCACTCGTGTGATTTCACAGAGAAGATATGCTCGTGTGAAATCACACGAGCAGAATGTCTCTGTTCGTGTGAAATCACACGAGCAATTAAAAAAAAATAACAAGGCCTGCTCGCGTGAATTTACGCGAGCACTTGCCAAGTGCTCGCGTAAATTCACACGAGCAGGCCAAAGTCCGATTTTTTTCGTTTTTTTTTCGGATTCGTAATCTACATAACAAGAGGATCGTAAAAACGTAAAAATTACCTCCGATCTGTTGACGATTTGCACGGGCTTTGCGAAAGAAAATCGAAAGGGTAGAGAGAGTTTTTGAGTTTTTTACCTTTTGTTTTTTGAGAAATGGTAAAAAATGTGGCTGAATGTTTAATTTGTGCCTGCACAAATCATTTCAGTAAAATAATAATAATCCCGCATGGGTGTAGCTCAACTGGTTCCGGAGGTGGTAAGTTGGAGCAAGGTCCTAGGATCGAATCCTGGCAGCCGCAGTGTGGGAATTTCAACTCCAATGAGATTGGTTCCTTGTGGGCACCAGGTCCGGGTCCGCTACCTTAACGGGCCGTTGAGTTACCATGATTTACATTCCTCCATCAATCCTTGTCGGGCCAAGGGATGGGGGCCCTGGGGGCGAGGGATTTCGCCTTATTGGAGCAAGTAAAATAATAATAATAATATTAAAAAAAAAATATTATTCAGGCTCACTTGTGAATGGAGATTTCGAGACTCCACTTTCGGTGGCTTCTCCTCAGACGCCGGATTTTCAGCGGCCCCACCGCAATCCCGAGCTGGGAAACCAACGGCACGGTGGAGCTAGTTGAATCCGGGCAGAAATAGGGTGGGATGATCCTCATCGTACTGCAGGGTACACACGCGGCTCGGCTCGGCAACGACGCCGAGATCAATCCAGGAAATCAAGGAACGGCACACTCTACTCCATCACCTTCAGCGCTATCCGCACGTGAGCCCAGCTAGAGTCACTCAACGTCTCAGTCCCCCCCCCCCCGACCATCGATATCCAGACTCTCTACAGCGTTCAGGGCTGGGATTCCTACGCGTGAGCCTTTCAGGCGGAGCGTGAGGAGGCGCGTGTGGTTTTCAGAAATCCAGGCATGGAGGATGACCCCACCTGTGGGCCCATCATTGACGACGTCGCTATCAAGTCGTCCCGGATATTTAGTGTTGGCCCGTGGTCGATGATGTAAGAGTCGAGGTATCAGGGTCCACTAGGGTTGGGCTCGGGGAGCTTCAATTTCAGGATAGAAATCCTATCTTATACGATGACATGTTTATGATGTAGCAAGGGGATGCAGGTGAAAACCGGTCTTTGTATTTGGTATTTCAGCTCATCTTTCGTAATATAACTTAAAATTCTCCATTTTCAATAAGTCTTTGTTAATGTATACATTTTTTTAATCATATAATGAAAAAACTTTGTTAATGTATACATTTTTTTAATCATATAATGAAAAAAATTATTTAATTAAAAGAGGTTAATAAAAAAAATGAATGTAATTATTGCAATATAAAAACTAGTAATGTTAATAAAATATTAATTTCCGCCTTCACGGATCTTCTTCTGCTCGGACAGAAGGTTTGCGAAATTCCTCAGTAGCGTTTCATTTGTTGTTTCTTCGTCGACGATTTTATTATAGGGCAAATATGGAAGGCCCATTTTATTATACGGCAAATATGGAAGGCCGCTTGCGTTTGTCTCTTGTAACAAACGGACCGCGGCTTCAACTAACGATTCCATCCTTGTTGAGTTGTCCAATGATGCAAGATTATCATCCATATTAATCAAATCCGGCCTATAGTCCTATAAAAGAGAAGTAATGATATATATTGCATCAACTCTATCAACAAATACGATATTAAAACACCTAGCCATGAATACGAAAATAAATAGAGCACATTACCTGAATTCGCAAGTAAAAATCTTTCGGACCCAATGATTGTTGAACATCATATCCAACGTATTCAGAGACTATTGACGAGTACATAGCGGTTGACCATCTTTTGTGACGGTTAATCTTTGCCCATTTTTTCTCACGCAATGTTTCCGGGGTAAATACCCCGCGCCCATGCAAGCTGACAATTCCAGTCCCTAGTGATAGTATAAGGGAGGGAACCCACGGACTAGGAATTCTCCGATCACCACTTAAGTTTATTTCATGAAGTGCACCACCTAACTAAAAATATAGAAAAATAAAAAATAACCGAAAAATCACATATAAAAATTATTATGTTCACTATTTCGAGTTTGAGTTACTTACAGGGTTTTTTTCGGTTGGATATCCACTTGTTGTTGAAAGACAGACATCGATCAACTTTGTATTCAAATCAGTTTCCTGTAATATTCAAGAATAAGATTTAACTTATAATTAATACAAATAAGAATTAATAAGTATTAGAAAAAAATTAAATAAAAATAAGAATACTAACTTGATAAGTGGTAAAACTTGTTAACTGGCCGCGGGTTTTCATATCAGTATATGGTATAATCAAATTTGTACAGGCTTCCCCTAGGGTGGTGGACCCCATATGTTTACTTAAAACATTTTCCAGGTCCCATGAATTATATGGAGAACCACTAATTAAACTCTTGACTTTCATTCCTATCTGAACCAGTAAGTTCCTAAACAAGATAAACAATTTCCAGTTTTAAAAGAGTGAAAATAACAATTGAGCGTTTAAATAAAAAAAAAAAGAAAAAATTACCTCGGCTTGAACATAGATTCGGAATAGTCCACGAAGAAATTTTGTAAATCTTTGGCCTCAAACATCGGGTTGCCCATTAAATTAGGTAATGCCAATAATGATGCGATGACACCACCGGAGTTAGTCCCGGCGATGCAATCAAAGTAAGATGCAAGTCGTGCATCTGGACCATCCAGCTTCTGGTGCATGATAACAAAATATAATAATAATAATAATTCAAAAAGAAAAAAAAAACTAGTTTATTTCAAAATTAACAAAATTTATTTACCTGTAGTTCATTCTCAAGGGTTAAAAGAATAGTAGCCGGTATGGCACCTCTCACTCCTCCTCCATCAATGGAGAGGAGTGAGAACGGACGATTGGATGACGCGATTAATAATGAAGGGGGAGAAGGTCGTGATATGGAACAAGTCTTGTGTTGTCGATTGGATGACCGGATTATTAACGAAGACGGGGAAAAATTCGATGACCACCGGATATTCATCGAATAGGGGGGAGAAGGCTTTGTGGGTATGTTTGGAATTGGAGCAATCCGAAGAAAAGCCGCCATGATGAGATATATGTCTATGTTTCTGGAATTCTTTTACTA